GACTCGCTTACGCCGAGCATTTGCCCTTGCATGTCACCACCATTATCCGAGGAGTTCTGGCTGCCTTTTAATGCAGATTTTGCGATCTCTCGACACCCTTGGCAGATCCACAGAAGATCTAAGTAAGTGCTGTATAGTTTGTATAGCTCACTTGAGAGCTTTGAGCAAGTTTTGTGTGCCCAACGCTGGCATATACTACATTCTATACCTGTAAACACCCGTCTGCAACACGATACATTCAGGCATGGATAAGACACACTTGGCATACTAAAAAGGCTACGATAATGGAAAAACAATTAAATATGTTACCACCAGCTCTAAAAGGGGTTACGCAACGTATAATGTGTACGAAACACGACGCTTAGGAATGACAAAACCGTTTAACCTACTATGAATACAAGATGGCAAAACTTTAAAGGGCACTGGACGCCAGATGGTTGGAGGTTTTCCCTGACACAGAGTGCTAAGTGCAATAATTGTTCTTGTGTAATATGGAGCGCTTTCACAGCAAAAAAGTTTCTCGCCGACACGGCGAAAGGTAAAGTGAAGTAAGGTGGGCGCATACTCGTGAGCACACCACCGAAAGAATTATGGACGCTTGATTGACCTGTGGCCACAACCAGTCCTGTGCAGTCCTGCGCGACTCCTACTACAGCCGAATCCCGTAACTTCGGACGGTCGCGGAATTATCAACCGTGCTGCAAGCCGGACAAACGTACAGCTCGATCGGTCTACCGACGAGATCGAGCCAGAATCAGGACATACATAAGGCCGAGGCCTCTACGTCCTGGAAGATTGGCTTGGATTGGATTGGACCTGACCTGAACCTGACCGGAGCTGAATTGTTTTTTTATATCAACACATATTTACTCAAATAAACCTGAGCGCGACATTACGAAATGGATTTATGCAATGCCGCTAGGTTACCGGACGATTTGTAAGTTTTACATTCTGTAAACATTCCTGCAGCAACAAGAGTGATCAGCTATTAAGTGAGATAAAATACGAAGGCAAGAAGTGTATTATTCTGAATGATGCTGATATTCACGAGTTTAACGAAGCAATTGCAACCAATCTATCAACAGAAATCCTAGTCGTCCATGGTTACAAAGCGAGAGAAATTCCGCGGCAGTTAGAGCGACTGGGACAACTGGAAATGTTTTTAATGGGAGCAAGCCAGATATGTTTTGTTCCGACGGTCATTTGCAAGCTCGTCAATTTGTCGTTGTTGGACTTGTCTGGAAACCAAATAGAAGAAGTCCCCGATTGCTGGGAAACTCTGAAAAACTTGAAGATTCTCGATTTTTCCAAAAATCTGTTAGAGAGACTACCAGATTCTTTATACGCGCTACCGCAACTACAATCACTAGACATAAGCGAGAACAAATTTTCTCATGTTTCACCATCCGTTAGGCAGCTGAAAGGACTGCAAATTCTTTCTTGTTCATTTAATAACATTCATTCTCTTCCAGACGAAATAACATGTCTTCAGAATCTACTAGTGTTGCGTCTTATGAACAATAAACTTTGTTATTTACCTCGTTCCTTTCCTAACCTGTCCAGCCTTTTGATTTTGCAGTTGGATTGCAACTGTTTTGACCACTTTCCACATCAAATTTTCCAATTATCTTCATTGATGGAGCTCAGTATAACAAACAATTCTATTGTTGGGCCACTTCCATTGGAATTCGGAAATCTTGTACATCTTAGGACACTCAGCTTGGCCAATAATTTATGCACCGAGTTACCGCGAACTCTCGGGAACCTCAGACATCTTGAGTATCTTGACTACAGTGGGAATAAGTCAAAAGGCTTGACATTCTCTTTAAGTGCACTGCAAAAGCTTGAAGAAATTTCGCTGTCCGGTTGCGGACTGACAACACTACCCGAAGACTTCGGATTGCTAAAACGATTGATCATACTGAACTTGAGTTCCAATAAATTAAGTACTTTCCCCCATAGTTTCACGGGCTTTCCTTGTCTTACGGCTCTGGTTTTAGCGAACAACCATTTTTCCTCCATTCCTGATTGGGTGTGTCTTTTAGACAATTTGGTGGTGCTTGAGCTACAAGCGAACAACTTAACCACTTTACCCACGGATTTTTCCCGATTGGCCGGTACTGTTAGGCAAATCGATCTGTCCCTCAACTCTTTCGAGACGTTTCCTATTTGCCTTTGTCAACCTAAGAGCCGCCTAACATATCTTTGCCTGGATTCTAATCCCTTTAAAGAGATACCGGAAGAAGTTTCCTATTTGAAAGATTTGACTCATTTGTCACTTGCGAACTGCGGTAATCTCACTTTTCTGCCCAGTGGTTTAGGTTCCTGCTCCAGCTTGCGAATGCTTAGATTAAGTCACTGTGCTCTGGAATCTCTTCCGCCGTCTCTTGTTGGATTGGTTTCGTTAAAATACCTAGATCTTTCACATACAAATTTTGCTACTTTTCCTATAGTTGTTTGCTATTTGTCTCGTTTAAAAGTTCTCTTGTATGACCAGCAACAAGGTAGACCACTTGTGGTTAAAGACGATCCTCGAGGATGGTTTGCTCGGAGTCGAACACTGTATCCAGAAGGGAATCAGTTTACAGACGTTGGCGCTCAAACCTTAAAGTCTTCCGAGGTATTGAGTTTGTATCCCACATTTGAAGATGCATTGAACATTGAAATGAATGAAGATTCTGGGCTTCCTCCACTTATTGGAAGACTATCACAACTGGCGCATTTTTCTTTACAAGCAAATGGTTTATTTATCCTACCGGACGTTTTTCATACAATGAATTTACGTCGATTGAATCTCAGTCACAACCGCCTCTATTTTTTACCCAACCGGTTTCATAAATCGAGAAGTTTAACTCATTTATATTTGCACAACAACAGAATTCGACAACTGACTGATAAGTTTCAACAGCTGAGGGCGTTGCGCGTTTTGACGTTAGCTGACAATCCTCTGGTATGCCCACCATCAGAAATTTGCTCAGAAAGAAAGGTTTCTCCCGTTTTTCATTATCTTTGGAGACAAAAATCTTACGAAGGTAAGCACTAGCTGGAGTATGTTAGAATTTGTCAACTGGAATTCATCCTTGTGCAATATTTAAATTTAGAGCAAACTTTAACCTTTTGAAAACTAAAAAATACTTTATTCTTAAATTTTGCTAGATTGGCTGTGATGGTGAAGCGTAGCGATAGATAGTTGCTCAAAATACGGTGTGGTTTAATTTATTTGTTTCCATTATCAGTTAAAATACCTTTTTCAATGTAAGATAATATGTATTTGGGACATTTTTATACACAGAACACATCAAAATCTATGTTTCTGGCAGTGGTTATCGATTTGACTAAGCATCGATTTATCCTGAGCAATCCGTTTTCCCGTCTAAAAGACCTATGATCTAATAAACTGGACGCCGACTCCCAGCTGATTAAGCTTTTGAGTACAAACTCGCTACATTGCAGGTCAGGGTTAGCTAACCAAAGGCTCAGGTTTTATTGATCAGTGGAGTTCATTTGCCTTGTTCAGGACAACCTGGCAGTATTTCAAATGGGTACCTAAGACTCTGGGCATGACATACTTTGCGGTAGCCCGCACACACCACTGAGGGGTGTTTTCCTTAGGAAACCTAACCGGAGCCTTTGATTCAAAATTCTGGCCTAAAAGGTAGTGGGGCGTAAATCCAACGCGAGAGAGTGACTGAAGCACCCCTGTGGGAGCTACTAGAAGTCTGTCAAGCAAGATCTTTCAGCTTCGGTTCAGTATGTTGTTTGCTGATGCGTTGATTGATGGTTTTCTTTTCGAGATCGCTCTGAATATCATTCACCCAATGAGATAGGCTGAACGTGGACAGGACAGTAATTTAGTGGCATGGGGCTGCCCAGCGTGAGCGGGCGGTAGCTGTCAAGTGAAATGCGAAGACTTCTCCCACGCTAGAGTAAATAATAACACGTCTTCTTTTTGTACTGTGGTTCTCTCGACACAGAATGGGTTCATAAATAGTGTAATATCATAAAATAATAATATCAAATGTGATGCACGTTAGAACTTAGTTAACGAAAATTGCATGCTTAAATTACTGTTTTTTCAAGTAGATTTATTTTTAATAACAGAAGATGAACAACTGTGAAGCTTATGGTTTATTTTTCTGAGCGTATTAAGCATCTCAATTACCAGAAACTGCTTGAAACTTTTGGCCCAACGGGTATAAGATTCAGATTTGGCTGATTATCCGGTTATTGAACAAACCAGATTTCTGGGCTCAACCAGTTTGGGTGCGTTCGTATAGGATAAACCAATTTCAGTATTTTATTCCTGTAATCCAACAAATTCTTAATCGTTATCTTCGTTAACCTGCGGCAATCATATCTTCTTAAATTGGGGATAAATATTTGAAAGGCGACAACCAAGCTGTTCAAACTGTTAAAAATGTTAAAACTCTAGCACGAGTGCGCTAAAAAAATAAAATTATTCTTGCGGCATATTTTAAACAAACAATTGATTGATTGATTTTCCTACTTATTGGGAGTAATACGATATTACGATAATATCATATTTCTCCAATGGATACATGAAAATTGTGTTCAGTGTTCAGAAGATCACAATGCAAAGGGAGCTACGTAATCAGTTGGTTATTTTATTAGATAAGCTCATGGTTATTGAGCAGTATGATAATTATTATTGCACATAAGCTACTCATCACTCAGTTACGAAAGTTAAACTAGTGAAATGAAGTTCCATTTTATAAATTAATTTTGCCCCAAAAGGCAATTTCTATTACACTTAATAGCTTTGAGCATTTAACACCTAACGATCTTCAAGGTTTAAGCCTGAACTCAGTAAAATATGATGAATAATCACTCGTCCTCGGCTGGATGTTCTATATCTACAAGGCATGTAAATTTAAGGATGAGACAATTCCGCTACCAGCTTGAAAAATACCTTTTACTACTTTGTAGCATTTTTCTTCGTTCAATTTATTTAATTAGTACAAAAAGTGCTCTCAAACAGATAGATTTATATGGAAATTTTAACAGTTTCAGTTTTTTTATTTCCAGAATAAAATGATCTAATTTTGAGAAATAACACCATTTCGGCGAGATAAAATTCTAATTTTTGTGTGGTGGGATAAACTCTAACAATTTTTCACTTACTCTAGATGCTCAAAATGATAACCGCATAAATTAGGTTCTTATCTCAACACAATAATAAGTAAATAACTTTCTCAATTTTTTATGGTCAAGATGCATTTGATAGATGATCGTTTAATATTAATTGTAGTTTTAAGCAAGACAACTTCATGGAGGAGGGGCACAAAACGACTAAATATTATATAATTGTTCTTTGGACTAAGCTATAGAGGTTTTAGTGAAGGAAAAACTGAAGAATGTCATACAATATGAGATTTAAAGACGCTGCATCCAAAACAGTTACATTAACCATACGTATTGAATCATTCACATAGCGATGATAATAGTAAACCTATCGTATGATTGTTATTCAGGCTCATTTTTCAACCGTTGTGACAAGAGAGTTGACGATTATTGGTCATCGTGAATAATGCTTGGAAATTTATATCTGCATCAACTCATCTTATACAGATAGGGGTTCTAGAAACTGAGTTTTCCATTGACGAAAATGATGTTAAAAGCATTTTTCTGTTTGCAAGAACTTTGCAACGAGTAGGTTACAAGTGATGAAAATTGATATTTTTATTTTATAGCCTTTAGTATAATGTCCTTAGTTAATCTGTAAACGTTTCTAGCTTTATTAGGTTTTTCAACCATTTGTAGCCAAATTTACCGTTTATTCTGAATTACGCATGAGAACAAGAGCACAACCATATGCTTACACACGAGTGTAGTTTTGGATGAATGACTTTTACCCTTTTGCTGGTTTATGGTGAGATCAGCTTGAGAACCTAATGTACACTAAAACAAAAATTAGAGATAAAATTTTATCAGCCCAATAAAATTATCATAGCTTAAAACTATCGCAAATGTGCACTAAGCGATATTCATAATTGCAATTCGTAATTTATGTGTTGATGAAGTCCCGGGTTAAGCGATTGTGTTATTTTCTTAAATCAGTTGTGAAAGATAGTTTGTGATTGTTTTTGCGTTGTAAAAAACCACGAGTTTATCCAGATAAGCATGCTAATTACCATTGTCAACTTACGCGACTGAGACTGAAAGTAAACTGGCTTAACAAATCTTAGATTTATGCATTCTGCCCCATTAATACATTGAGGTTCTCAACTGCAAAAGAAATAAGCATTAACGGAGGGTTGTATGGCATAACTGCCTAATTGAGACGGAATTCAACTTCTCCGTCATGGATTCTTGAATGCTTTGCTTTCAGAGAATAACGACTCGAACTTCCGATTCTAATATCTCCAAAGCCACACCAGACTGTTCAAACTATATCGTTGTTTCTGGTGCACTTTTTTGGTACATACCTCTGAAATTCAGTAAAATCTAAATACAAGTGTAATTGTAAGCAACTAACTTAATAGGACAAACTATTCGAAAATTGAAAGGTAATTCCTAGATGGGGTTTACAGAAGAATCGGTAATCCGTGAATGGGCATAACGACTTCACTTTTAACATTTAAAGATTTAAATAGCGTCTTAAGGACTTCATAAAAGCTTTTTTGGTCTGCATAACTATTTTTCCAATACCTCAAGATCCCGACCAAAGAAGCGTTTCCCAACTTGAAGGGGAAATATCATATTGTCTAACTGACGTTTCAATCATTAAATAGATTGAGAGCATTCAAACTCACTAAATCCATTCCATCAGTGCTTTCAAATTGCGAGAAATTTACTTAATTGTCTAACACATTTTGCATACGAACTGTTGGATGAACCACTTTGCATCCAGAATAACCTCAATACCGCTATTTTATTCGAAGAGAAAGCCGTTTCTATTAATATATTGATCAATAATTTAGATAACAAAGAAGGTATCTCTGGTGGACACAACCTTTTACGCATGACGATTATGATAAGAATCATACATAGGAATACCACTTTAATGGTCCACATACGATGAATTTGCAAGAGAGATCACTTTTTCATCCGGTTGTCCAACTACAGGCAGCTGTATTATATATCACATGGGTTCTCCAAATAAACGCATATTTTTTCAGGACAGGATGAAGGATGACTGAATGATTATTGTTCCCCTTTACTTGCCTGATGCTGAGGGCAACAGTACTAGAATCCAGTAGGCGAACGACGAAGTATAACTACAGAGATAGCTTTTCAAGAGAACTAATCTCTCGTTATAAATCTTCTTAAACATCAACTTACAACAAGTAAAAGTATTTTGTGTTTATTTTATCAATAATTTTCACCAAGTCCGATATTATATATAAGGAATTCCTCCTGAAAAATGTTTTTGGCAATTCATCTACTTTTATGGCATTATGTTGCCTTTTTTAACCTATGATTTGTTTACAAAACAAGACTTATAATATACATCCTTCCTACTGACATTTTCATGTACCAGCATGGTTGCAACTTATAGAATCAAGTATTCAGTTGTCTAGGCTGTTAACCTGATTGAAGATATGCATAACCAGTGAGTATTTATCCCGCGAATGGCTTTCTCATAAATCCTTCCAGTCTCCTTGATTTACAACTCATATTTATCTAGTTAACGATGATAAATTGCACCGACCAGCTTAAAGACGAATTAGTTTGAAATTAAATCAACAGTTAAGAAGTGTTTTGTGTGATTCACAACCGACTGAAGATTAGCCATGGCATTTTCTAAGATTTTAAAGCCATTCGCTAAGGAAATGTGATCAGACTGAACACTAATAGTCTGTGATTGATTGATGTATTACACAGTCGATCACATAGTTGAACGTCATCAACACGAGAGCTCATTGTTGGTTAGCATCGGAATCCAGAGAAAATTTGGTTGACTTTTCTCTAAGTTTCTAGTATTAATTGGATTTTTAAATGATTAGGTTTAAAAATTTAATATACTCCCCGGTATTTCGGCAAACTTTGTTATTGTCCTTAGTGATTTTTGCTATTCTGATT